GTGATGCCCGCTCTCCCCACGTCATCTCTGGGTAATGGGGCAGCAGTGACTTCTAAAGAAGTGGCTGCCTTCCCGATGGAGGTTTTCATCTGCTCCCTTTGCAGGATCTGGAGTGAGGGGCCCCTCAGAGAGCTTATCCAGCTGATAGAGTGGGGACAATTCTCCCCATACACAAGCAGACCAGGACAGGAATTGGTTTCCCTTATGTGGCCGTCAGACGTTGATCTCAAAAAATATCACTTAAAGAAAGCTATATAGACTGGCCCTTCAGTAGAGGGAACTCTCATTCTTTCAACAAATATTCCTTGAGCACCTGGTATATGTCTGGCACTGTTCTAGGCCCTGGAGATACAGCTGTGAGCCAGGCAGGCAGACACTGTGCCCACATGGATCTTATATTCCTAAGTGGGCAGATTAAGCAGACAAAATAACTGAATAATATGTTATATGCTAGTAAGTACCATGGAGAAAAATTAAGCAGGGAAGAGACTGAAGGATGCCAAGGAGATAATGGTTGCAATTTTAAATTGTTTGGGGGTGTGAAGAAGATATTGAGGAAGCACCCTTTGAGTTGCTGCTTGAGGATACCTGGGGAGAAGGTTCCAGGCAGAGAAGGGGTGGGGTTTGAGAGCCAGCGAGGAGGTCCCTGAGGGAAGAGAACAGCAACGATGAGTCACAGGTGCAGCAGCGGGGCCACCGTGCCGCAAGAGTGTGTGGGCAGGGGCGCGATGGACCTGAGCTCTCACCAGCTTCGGGGGTCTGGGTTAGACCCTCCCCTGTCTACTCATACCAATCATGATTTCTCATGTTTTGAGAGTCATGAAGACGAGCTGAGAACTTTTTTGAATGGATTCCTTCTCCTTTCACCATTTGCTCTACATGAGAGTGATTCTTTCTGAGTTCAGATTATAGGGCCCCTTTGACTTCGTTCGCTCTGACCAGTACTTTGTTGTGTGTGCACTCATACATGCATGCTCACATGCACACCCTCCCATTCATATGCATTAACTCAGAGCTGACTTAAAGTGTATATTTCAGAGAAATGACTTTTTTTGGTTAAAAAAAAACAAACAAACCATAATCTAACCTCCCTGGGGCTCAGTTTCTTCATCTGCAAAATGGGTATGAGAGTAAAAGCCTGACAAAGGCTGTATCCCAGTGCCTAACGCACAGTAGAAGCTCAGAACATGTTGTCTCATTTTCCTATCCTTCCTCTGACGTTCTTGCAAATTAAATAGCCATTTGTTCCTTTTCACCTCTGTACATGACTTTGTAGTTTTAGATCATTATGCCAATGAATATATTGGGTTTGGATGACTTCAGTTGACCTAACTTTACTATCGCTTTGACCGTTAAATGAATTTTATTAATGTACATAGCATACCTTTATTCTCTCCTCATTTAAGTAGAGGTGAAAGGATTTTCCATACTGCATCAAGAAGGCACACATCCATCAAAACAATAAGGCTGAGTAAAAGCTGAACACATGTTAATATTTCATTCTTGCTAATGAAAAAATACATATAAATATATTTAGGCTATCATGTTCTGATATACTATACATTTTTCCCCATCAGGATAGAATAGCCAAAATTGATATTTTTCACAGAAGCATTAAGCTTTAAAAAATGTTAATGGCCTAAAACTTACATAGAAATACTGAATTACTAAAAGCAGCAGCAATTACATGTTTAATGTCAATAGAAGCACATTATCTAATGAGCTGTTTTCAGAAGTTAATAATGTGATTAATCACCGATTGACAAAAACTGTGGAAAAGAAGTTATTTTGTACTAATAGCACTCCTGAGTCAAGTGCTGCCTGAGGAGAGGTAAATCTTGGTTAATGAGGTGCCAGTGGAAGTCAGGGGGTGGTTGGTGTCAGAGAAAGACCAGCTGGCTCCTCGGGCAGGTCCTCACCATGTGATGCTCACTGGTGGGCGTCTTTGTACTCCAGACTTGAGTCCTCAGTTTTGTGGGTTTAGTAGCCCCCAGAATTAAACAGGATCAGGAGTACCAACTTATGCTCACCAGACTTATAAGAGAGTAATATATAAACCAGATTGAAAGTATTTAATTTAAAATGTGGATTGGAACTTGGAGAAGGAAATGGCAACCCACTCCAGTATTCTAACCTGGAGAATTCCATGGACAGAGGAGCCTGGCGAGGTTACCAAAAGTGAGACACGACTGAAGCAACTTAGCACACACACAGCACAGTTTCATGGATTGGAGCTACCAAGAAGGGAGCTTCTCCCTTAAATAGCTTTTACTCTATCCTTTGTGGAAACCTGTATGGGGAGCTAAATTGCAACAGGAATAATGATAGTTTAGTTATACATTCATTCAACTTTTAATTGAGTACCTACTACGTGCAGGGGCTTTCCTGATAGCTCAGTTGGTAAAGAATCCGCCTGCAATGCAGGAGACCCCGGTTCGATTCCTGAGTTGGGAAGATCCGCTGGAGAAGGGATAGGCTACCCACTCCAGTATTCTTGGGCTTCCCTTATGGCTCAGCTGGTAAAGAATCCACCTGCAGTGCAGGAGACCCTGGTTCAGTCCCTGGGTTGGGAAGATCCCCTGGAGCAGAGAAAGGCTACCCACTCCAGTATTCTGACCTGGCGAATTCCATGGACTCTGTAGTCCATGGGGTTGCAAAGAGCTGGACATGACTGAGCAACTTTTACTTTCACTTTTCACTACTGTGTGCAAGGCCCTGTTCTAGCCCTGGGGATGGAGCAAACAAGAGACAAAAAATAAACCGCCCTGCTCTGTTAGGGTATACATGCTAAACGAGGGGCAGGGGGTGACAGATGGTGAGCAAATACGTATGTATCATAGCAGATGGTAACATATACTTTAGAGTCTCACCACTCCAAGTATGGCCCGGGGCCCTGCTGCATGGGTATCTACTGGGAGCTTATTAGGCATGTTACCAAGCCCAGGCTCATATTACTCACCACATGTCAGGCCACAAATTGAGACACAAGTTGTTGAGGCAAGGAACAGTGACTTTATTCAGACAGCCAGTAGACAGAGAAGATGGTGGACTGGTGTCCCAAAGAACCTATTAGAGCTGGGCCCATCCCAATCCACAAAATTAGAATCCACATTGAGCAAGATTCCCAGGTGATTGGCCTGCACTTTAGATTGAGGGGCTTCCCTGATAGCTCAGCTGCTAAAGAATCCGCCTGCAATGCAGAAGACCCCGGTTCAATTCCTGGGTCAGGAAGATCTGCTGGAGAAGGGATAAGCTGCCCACTCCAGTGTTCTTGGGCTTCCTTACTGGCTCAGCTGGTAAAGAATCTCCCTGCAATGAGGGAGACCTGGGTTCAATCCCTGGGTCGGGAAGATCGCCTGGAGAAGGAAATGGCTACCCACTCTAGTATTCTGGCCTGGAGAATACCATGGACTGTACAGTCCATGGCATCACAAAGAGTCAGACATGAATGAATGACTTTCACTTTACAGTTTGAGAAGCACTGATTTAAAGGAAAGCTAAGTAGGAAAAGGGGGATGGAGAGTGCTTGGGGCAGGGATTGGTATTTTGCAAAGAATACAGGGAAAGCCTCACAGATATAGTGACACTTATTCAGAGCCCTGAAGGAAGGAGGGAGAGAGTCATGTGGATATCTAGGTGAAGAGTGTTCTAGGTAGAAGAATAAGCTGGTGTAAAGGCCCTAAGGCAGAAGCATGTCCAGCATGTTTGAGGAACAGTCGGAGGAAGGTAGGCTGGAACAGAGTGAGTTGAAGGAAGAGCTATAAGAGCAGAGAAGTAACTAACATGGTTGGAACAGTTCACTTAAAGTCTTGTAGCAATTATACTGTGGCTCTTACTCTGAGTGGAGTTGGAGCCTCTGCAGGGTTTGAGCAGAAGAATGTTGTGATCTGAACTTTCAAAGGATCACTCCAGCTTCTGTGTTACAAATAGACTATAGAGAACAAGGAAGGAGACCATCGCAGTAGTTCAGGTGAGACATGTTGATAGGTTGGACCATAGCAATAGAAAGAAGTAATATATTTTGAAGATGGGGATGACAGAGTTTGTTATCAAATCGGATGTTGGGAGAGAATAAAAGAAACAGGTTGACACTGATGACAGTGATTGGCCTGAGCAGCTGGAAGGTTACCACTTATTGGAGTAGAGGATATCACAAGAACAGGTTTTAGGGAGTGAGAGATTAAGAGTTGAGACCTCTCTTATGTATCCAGTTGGAGATTTGAGTTGGCAGTTGAATATAGGAATCTGGAGTTTGGGGTAGGGGTCCTAGTTAGAGCTGTGTAAATGAGCATCATCTGCACAGATGGTGTTTAATGCCACGAGTCTATGAGATCATCCAGGGAGTGGGAGAGACGAGAGCTTGTGTGTTATTAGCAGACAGTATCACAAGCTAAAACAACCAGTTGCAGCCATCTTGCCCACCACCTTTCCTACTGTCTGGCCAGATTACCCGTGTCTAATCGGACATGGTATTGATTAGAGCATGGCATTTCCAAGCATCCCCAGCCTACCATGGCAGGATGGGAGCAGATCCGTCCACTCAGGTGTGTTTTATTCATTGGTCACTCAGAAGGCGACTTCACTACAATATTTCGAGTCATCTCTCTGTGACCTTTGACTCCTGATTGAAGCAACGCACTAATCCTCAGAGTTTTCTCTTCTGATTCATGGACATCACCAGTGGGGAAAATTGATCCTCATCCATCTTCCTCTTCCTCCTCCTAGTCCTTGTAAAGACTTTCATTCATTGAGCACCTCCTAGGGGCTACACCAGACACCACATGTACCTTGTCTCTCTGATGCCTCGCCACAGGATAGCCCCATTTTACAGATGGGGACACTGAGACTCAGAGACCTGGAGTAACCTGTCAAGGCAAGAGCCCTTCTGAGCCCAAAGCCTCTCAACCACCTCATGACTGGGGACTGGGGGACCCTTATCTCAGGGCTGTTTTCGCTTCCCTGGGCTCCTGGTCACGTGCTCCCCTCCCCCAACCCCGCAGCCGTGGTGAAGAACCCACCCAACAACCTGTGGATCATCGCTGCAGTGCTGGCGCCCATCGCCGTGGTCACCGTCATCATCATCATCATCACTGCCGTGCTCTGCCGCAAGAACAAGAATGACTTCAAGCCAGACACCGTGATGAACCTGCCTCAGCGAGCAAAGGTACGTGTCGGAAGCCGAGAGGAGAGGGGTAGGAGCCCTGGCCCGGGGGGACTTTGCCTGCCTTTTGGCCATTCAGGTCATTGCAAGTACCTTCGGAAACCTCTTTAGTCCTCATGTTGGAGACCCTCTGTTACTTATCTGAATGTTTAAAAACTTGTGGTAAAATATACATAACGTAAAGTGTACCATTTTAGCCCTTTTGAAGTGTTCAGCTCAGTATTGTTAAGGATATTTGCATTGCTGTGCAGACCTTCATTTTTATAATCAGGACACAATAACTCTCTACTCTAAGTGCTTCTCAGGGCTTTGCAGGCACCAGCTCACCTACTCTTCGTAGCAGCCCTTTGAGGAAGAACATTATTTTACAGAGTAGGAAACAGAGGCACAGAAAATGAGGAGTTAGATAGACTTGAAAGGGGTCTCAGAGCTCATCTGTTCTGACACCTTCCCTTTTACAGAGAACTGACTTTTTCACGATGGCACAGTGAGTAAGTAGCAGAACTGATGGTAGAACCAGGTGTCTTGGCTCCTAACTCAAGGCTCTTTGGGGGCACATCAGACCCTCAAAACCTTCCTTCTTCCACTGGCCAGAGTGGCTGATCTTCAATGGCTACATGATAGGGACTTCCCTGGTGGTCCAGTGGCTAAGAGTTCACACCCCCAATGCAGGGGGTCCAGGTTATATTCCCGGTCAGGTAACTAGATCCCGAATGCTGCAACTAAGACTTGGCTGCAACTAAGACAGTCAAATAATTTTTTTAAAAAAAGGCTGCATGATGACCAAGCTGCAGAGCCTTGGCTGGGTGGCTATCAAACCCCAGTTCAGTGGCTCCACTGAAGGCTAGCCGGGGGCGCCATCCACCATCCACAGCCTCCCTGAGGCTGCACCATCCCCCTCCAGTGACTGGGAGAGGGGCAAACTGAGGAAATTCCAAAGGCTAATTTTCCAGTCGGACTTCTCTGGCAGCTCAGCGGTAATAAATCCACCTGCAGGGCAGGAGACCCAGGTTTGATCCCTGGGTCAGGAAATGGCAACCTACTCTAGTATTCTTGCTTGGGAAATCCCATGGATAGAGGAGCCTATCAGGCTGTATAGTCCATGGGGTCACAAAGAGTCGGGCATGACTGAGCAACTCAACAATAACAAGTTTTCCGGTCACATAGCTCCCTTCACCATAGTCCCCAAAAGGAATATAATAACCTCTACTACCCAGATTATCATATAATGTTTAAATAATGTCTTACAATATCCTGGGCTCTTCCAGGTCTGTCGTGTTGTTTGCTCATCACAGTAGTCCTATGAGGTAGGTCATAGTCAGGGCAGCTCTTATTATTTTCTTTTCTTTTCTTTTTTTTTAGCTCTTATTATTTTCATTTTACTGCAGAGAAACTCAAAAGAATGAGAGACAGTGGGACTTATCCACAGTAGGTGGGGAGGGGGGCACTCAGGTCCACACCTGAGTCTTTGGGCTTTGTCTACATTATACACCATCCTAAACCCTAAGACTTGGTAGGTAGAACCCTCCTCCAGCCCCTAACCTCTGCGCTTGTTCTGCCTAATTCTCTGGGCAAGAATGAAACAGAGAATGGAATTTCACATCAATTGGACCGCATGACATGGTGGTTGTCCTTGCTGGGAGTCACGCATGCCTAGTTCTTCCTGGATGACCATACCTCGCTTCAACAAAAGAAATCAAGTGAATTTGGTTGTTTATTAAACTGAGTCACCTGTTGAGAAGCTGCAGCTTGCTGAGACACTGTGTCTAGCGGAGGGCCCAACCCCAAAGAATGTCATTCTGTGTCTGTTGACACAAAGCTACCTGCTGCCAGGACACGGCATGATGTTGGTAATTACCCAAGCAGTGAAAAATGACACTATTCCAAGAAGGGGTATTTCATTTCCATCTTAGCTCAGTTACAATCTGAGCCTTTCAGACATAACAGTAATTACTAGAATCTAATTGCAGCCAAGTCCAGGAATGCAAAGCATGCCATACTGGGGTTGTAAATGCCATCTTCATGTGATTGATGAAGACAAAATTTTATTAATTTGCTGAGATGAGCTGGGCAGCACGTGATTTCAGCATATCCCCTGGCTGGAAAGCTGTCTGAGGCTGGAACAGATTCATGTTTGTGAGTTTTCATAGCCCCTTTTATGTCCTTGCCCGGCACATTGTGCTTCAAGAGGTACCCAGCTGCTGTGGAAAATCAAGCAAATTTATGTTCCGTGAGATGACTGAGTTCACTCGTGGGGGTGGCAGTGGTTGTTTTCTCCCTCAGTGAGGCTAGGCTACGCACTTTAATTTCCAAAGCCCTGTTGTCACGGAAAACCAGTGGGGCGGAACTGCCTCTTTCTTACCGCACTCCTTTTCCTGGTGCAACCCAGGGACACTGCGGTGTTTGCCAGAGGAGCGAGCCGCCTGCGTCACTTCTCACAACCTGAGTGTGTGAGCAGAATCCATTTAGTGCCAAGGGACGAGGCGGGAAGAGAAAGTTAGCTATTGCCACCAACCCAGAGAGGGGAGGCTGGTCTCCTAGTCTCCAGGGACACCACTGCATCTGTAAGGATGTTGGCCGCGGAGCCAGAGGACACGGCTGGGGACCTTTGCTGAGCCTCACTAGTAGACCCAGCAGGCTCAGAGGAGGTGAGTGTGGCTGTCTCAGAGCCGAGATCAGGCCGTACCTGCCTGCCCCCTTCTGCAGAGACAAGGCATCATACCACAGATGTAACCCTGTTACCACTGCTGTCAGCTGGACGCAGGCAGAAGGTTAAAAAACTATCAACACGGAGGAGAGCGGGGTGTCATGCCTTTGTCGCCTCCTTCCTGCCTCGTTCACTTTTGCTTCCTCTTTGTCATTGGATTCACAGCCTTTCCCCAGATTTTCCCTTCCTATAACTGAAGAGGACATGGCCCCTTGGAACAGGCAACCTGAAGAGAAATTTGTTAAAGCAGAATGGAGCTTGGAGGGTTGGCATGCCCTGCTCAGGATGGCTCAGTCACCCCCTAAAGATGCCCTGTTCTTTTCTCACATACTATTTATATGTGCCTCAGTTTTTCCCATCTGTGAACTGGGGGTGATAACGGTGTTCACTTACACTTTGTTGTGAGGATTGAGTTATGTGAATTACTTTGAATATGCCTTGTACAGAATAAACATTATAGGTAAGTTGATCTTTATTATTACACATGTTTCTTAAAAAAATCCGGGTAACATGTCTACCTTTGAAATTGTTGGGGATTATTTTGATTTGAAACTTTTACAAAACTCATTAAAGCAACTATAAATGTTTCATGATGTTGCATTAGCGGTGTTAGGGGTTCCTAGTGTGTGTCCAGTGGGCAGTTAGTTAATCTCAGGTGTTTCAAGTTAGAGGTTGAAAGACCGCTATTCTGTCAGTCAGAAGAGCAGGGTACAAGTTTTGAGTGTTTCACCACTTAGCTGTGTGGTCTTGGGCAAGTCACTGAACCTCTCTGAGCTTTTGTTTTCTTACCCATAAAGTGAAGACTGTGCTGTTTGCCCAGTTTTCCCCATGGGGTTGTTGTGAGAATGAAATGAGGTTATCAGTGTCTTGCAGGCTGTAAGTACTGAACATGTACAGGGATTCTTGTTAACCTGATAACAAAGGCCACGTCTGAAGCCTGTCATTCCTTAATGTCCTTCTGGTCACCCATCATCAGCTCAGTCCCCTGAAGTATCCAGTGCAGTGTGAAGGGTGAGGAGCCACAGAAGGGGGGAATGAGAGGGACAAGCCAGCACCAGCTTGTCCTCCTCACTAGGTTCTTAGCTGCTGCTGCGTATTGCCAATAGCTCACACACAGGCCAGGAGACTGGAAACAGGAGCCAGGCGAAGTGTGCTGGGAGATGCCCAACCTAGGTGGCAGGCTGCAGAAAGAAAGAAGGGGAAGAAGGGGCGGTGGGATGAATCATCAAGCAGTGGCTGGCTGTTCTGGCTCTGTCTCCTATGGTCCTGGATTCATATCCTGGCTCTACCATAGACCAGCTGTGTGAGCCTGGGGAAACTGATGAACCTCTCTGAACCTCAGTTTCTTCATCTTTAAAATGGAGAACCATGCCAACACCTACCTCCTTGGGCTACAGTGAGGATGAAATGACATAATTTATGTAATGTATTCAGTGTTGTACCAACAATATCAAGTGAAACAGGAACTGAGCTTCTTGAGGGTAGGGAAGCCAGTTATTATTCATCTTTATATTTCCAGCATCAAGCACAGTCCCTGACACAAGCCAATGCCCCATCCTAGAGTTGGAACAAAACTGAACAGGATAATGGGAGGATGAGGGTGGAGCAGAAAAGGGACCAATAGGAGATGAGACCGGACATATGGGCTCACACAGAATTCAAGGGTTTTGAATGCCTTGCCGAAGAGTTTGGGTGCCAGGGAGAGTTTTTAATGACCTGATGAATTTCTAAGGGAGATAACTTTGGAGGATTGTCAAGGATGGGTCTGGATAGGAGCAAAATGGAAATTACAAGACCATGGCAGGGCCAGTACAGCAGTGGACCTGGAGAGAAGAGGTCAATTTCCAGAAACATTTCAGTTGAATTCAACTGGTGATTAGTTGTTCATAGGAGAAGCAGGTGAGTCAGTATTCTAGCAAGTCATGGGTTGCCATGTCTTGCTCCAAGGGATCTTCCCTATCCAGGGATTGAACCCGCATCTCCTGTGTCTCCTGCATTGCAGGCGGTTCTTTACTGCTAAGCCACTGGAGAAGCCCTTGGCTATACTACAGACAGCTTGAAAAGGGAAGCTTTTCTGGACTTAGCAATAAAATCCCCCCTATTCTGAGACACGATATGATGGGTTAGGCCATGGTCTTAGACCATTTAATCTGGCCTTCCTGTTACAGTTCTTGACTAAGTAAGGTACTAAAAAAGGAATGTCTGATCATATCAAGTTCTGATAGAACCCAAATGATAGAGGTTAAGTTTCACCCCAAATTTTCTTAAAGAGAATTGCTGATGTCCGTTTCACCTGGCCAATGATTTAGTAGGCAGGAAAACAATTTGAACAAATATTGATTGAGCACATACTATGGGTCAGGTACTTAGCTAAATGCTGGGCTTGAATTTACTTATCTAATCTACGTGACATCCCTTTGAGGGTGGTTAAATATCACTGTCACCGACATACATGTTTGATCCTGCTCACACTATATTCTCTCCATGTTACAGATGAGGAAACAGGCACAGAGAATTTCAGTCACTTACCCAAGGTCACACAGCTAATATGTCTCAGAGAGAGGATTTGAACTCCGGCTATCTGTTTTCAGAGCTGCTGCTCCTAGCCACCCCATTGTCCTGCCTCAAATCCCTGTTGTGCTACTTTGGGGCATAGAGCAGAATAGAGACACTCACAGGAATTGTTTAAACATGCTTCTTGGTTTTTTATTACCCCACTAATACATGTCTGTTGGGTTTTGCTCACAGCTGCCCTATTCACTTGGGATTTCAGACACTGCAATAAAAACCTTGCTAATTTCTCAGTCATGAGAAATGAGAGGCGAGCTAGCCTGCTAAAGGGAACGGTCTGGATTAGAGAGTGATTCCATAAATTCCATTTTATTATTAATAATTATACTGCCTCACATGTGGTAGCATGTTTTTCCTTTTTTGTTTTTAGATCTGAGATTCTCTCTAACACTCCAGGGTGGTGCAGGTAGAACAGATATGATTATCTTCATTTCTCAGATGAAAACATTGAGGTTCAGATTTCAATGACTTGGCAAAGTCACACAACCTGTTATTTCACAGGACTTAAGGGATGACAGAACTATTCTTATGTAGAAGAGGCAGGACCTGTTTAATGTAGCAATTAAGAGCTGCTAATTAGCAGTATCCAGTGACTTAGAATAAGTGGTCTAAAATCCTTGAAAGAAGTTGTTCTCATAAACATTTTTGCATCTTGTTTATACTATTCATTTTTCTGAGTCTTCTCTATAGAGGTTCTGTAGCTAGGTGGAATTAATGTGGACTTTGATTTCATAGAGACAGAAATTAGGATGGAGATTTGAATTAACTCTTGTTCATCGGAAAGCTAAGTACGGTCCCGTCATGTGCACTTTCCCACCTGTCTTCTCTTAAAGCTGCTGTGAGTATCACACTTTGCCAGAAACATGACTGCAAATCTGTTTCCTTTTTGCAGCCTGTGCAGGGCTTTGATTATGCCAAGCAGCACCTGGGCCAGCAAGGGGCGGATGAGGAGGTCATCCCGGTGACTCAGGAAACAGTGGTCCTCCCACTGCCCGTTAGAGATGCTCCTGCCTCTCAGGAAAGGGATGCCCCTCAGGATGGAAGCACCATCAAGACGGCCAAATCCATCGAAACCAGAAAGAGGTAGGCATGGGGCCAGATTCTGCCTCTCTGTGTCAGCAAGAGAAATAATTGATGGGGAGAAGAGCTGGAGCCCTCAATTCCTCTCTTCTCTTTAAAAATTCCCCTTCATGCTTGTTCTGAATATTTGAGGAGACTAAGGAAGAGGATAGAAATCATAATTCCTGCTTCTCATGAGCCATCTGTTGTAATGTTTTAGATGTCTAATCAACTGCAACGGTTGAGGTTTTCTCCTTAGGTTTATTATAACAAATTTGGCACTGATGTTACACTTATATTTTTTAATTTATCTTAAATGCAGTGCCTTTGGTTCAGGATAGTTGTATTTTATCTGGCAGTTTCTCTATAGAGCTTATGGTTTTAGTTCACAAACCAGTTATTGGGCTTTTACTATGAGCAGGGCACTTTGACAGGCACTGGGATGACTACAGAAAGGTTTAAGATTGATTCCTGACCTCAAGCATCTTGTGTTGGAAAGATAGAAATAAATCGTTGGAATACCAAGCCTGATGGGCAGGTGTCTACTGTGGAGTCTAAACCATGTCCTGGGGAAAAGAGAGAGGGAAGAATTTAATTCTGATGTGGGAAAGTGTCATGGAAGAGGTTATGTTTTAACCAAGCCTTGAAGGACAAGTAGGATGTCCATGGGGGGAAAAAGATAAAGGCATCCAGGCTGGAAGAGCCAGGAGACAGCAATGATTACTTATGATGAATGTCCTTGGGGTTTAGAGTTCAGAGTGCTTGAGATGCAGTGAAAGATGAAACCAGAAGACAGATGAAAACTGTGGAGATTCTTAACTGCCAGACCGAGGAGTTTGACCTTTATACTCTAGGCAGTATTAAGCCACTGAGCGTTCTTCAGGAAGACAGTGATGCCCAACCTGTATCTCAGAGAGACTACTCCAGTGCATTGTGGATGATAGATGGGAGAGGTTAGGCTAGAGGCCAGGACACTTGTTGGGACTTGGCAATAGCCTCACAAAGAGGTCATGAACTCTATGGCCAACTCTGTTGCCTGGCTAATCAACTCCTGTTGCCAACCTCTTTCTTTCTTGCCTGGGACCACAATGGTGGCTGGAAAAACTACATCCTGTTTCCCTCCTTCTCTCCTTTCAGGTAACAGATATTTATCAATTGTTTGCTGTTAACTAGGCACAAAGGATACTGCAATGAACAAGACAAAGTTAATACTCCCGTAGTGCTTACAGTTTGATGAGGGAGAGATAGACAATAAGCAGAGAGACAAAAATATAGTAGGTTGGGAGGTGATACAGAAGAAAACCAAAGCACAATAAGGGATTGGAGATGTGGAAAGGGGAATATGGTGCTGTTTTAGCAAGAAGTTGGGGAAGGCCTCACTGATAAAGTGACATGTGAGAAAGACTTTATTGAAATGATGTGTAAGGTTATCTAGTGGAAGAACATCCCAAGCAGATGGAACAGTATGTGCAAAGCCCGAAGGAGGAAATGTCTTGACTTGCTTAAGGAAGAACATGAAGGCCAAAGAGGCTGATGTGAGCTAGGGAGGAAGTTTGTAGCAGCTGAGTCAGAGAGACTTAACTGTGGTTGATCTTGTCAGGCTTTATAAATCAAAGTCAGAACTTGGGATTTTATTGTGAATGAAGATCAGGACTCATTAGAAGAGGGTTTTGAGAGCAACGACAGGATGTGACTTGCATTTTAAAGGCTCACTCTGGCTGCTGTGTGGAAATAGACTGTAGAGAAGCAGAGAGACCCATTAGGAGGCTTTTGTAGGAGTCCAGGTGAGAGATGGTGGTGTACCAGGACATGGAGGGTGGGAAGTGATTAGGCTCTAGAGGTGTTTACAAGGAAGAGCTGACAAGATTTGCTGATAAATTATTGTGTGGTCGTGGTCACATATGGATGTGAGAGTTGGACTGTGAAGAAGCTGAGTGCAGAAGAATTGATGCTTTTGAACTGTGGTGTTGGAGAAGGCTCTTGAGAGTCCCTTGGACCACAAGAAGATCCAACCAGGCCATCCTAAAGGAGATCGGTCCTGGGTGTTCATTGGAGGGACTGATGCTAAAGCTGAAACTGCAATACTTTGGCCACCTCATATGAAGAGCTGACTCATTGGAAAAGACCCTGATGCTGGGAGGGATTGGGGGCAGGAGGAGAAGGGGACGACAGAGGATAAGATGGCTGGATGGCATCACTGACTCAATGGACATGAGTTTGAGTAAACTCTGGGCATTGGTGATGGACAGGGAGGCCTGGTGTGCTGCGATTCATGGGGTTGCAAAGAGTCGGACACGACTGAGTGACTGAACTGAACTGAACTGATGGGAATCGAGAGGGATGAATTAGCCATTTTTGTGCTGGGGAAGACTGGAGGAGAAGTTTGTAGAGTTTGGATGTGGACATGTTAAGTTTGAGGTGCCCATGAGACATGCGAGTGGAGACATTGAGAGCTCGGTTAACCACATGAGTCTGGAGTTCAGAGGAGAGGTCAAAAGTTGAAATAAAAATGTAGGAGCTATCAGTGTTTAGTTACAAAAATCTCTGAGGATAGATGGGCACCTTGGAGAGTATAGATGGAGAAGAAATCTAAAAACTTATGCCTAGGACGTGGCAGTGATTAGAGACCCAGATAATGAAAATGAATTGGCAAAAGATTCTGAAAAGCATCCGTAGGAAAGGCAAGAGGAGAACAAAGCAAAAATGGAATCCAGGAAGCCTAGAGAATGAAGTTATTTCAGGAGTAAGAAAGGATTGTTTGTATCAAATTTACAAATTTTTTATTGGTGTCAAGCATCAAGTCTCCAGGAGACCTTGGTACCTAAAAAGGAAGTACAGAGAAACAGAGGGTTGGATTTCAGCTTGTGTGGGGAAGAAAGCGGAGGGCATGTTGATTAATTATCTGTTGCCCCATAACAAACCACTCTAAAGTTTAGCAGCCTAAAACAGCAACTATTTATTTAGCTCATAATTTTTGGTGGATCAGCTATCTTGGCTGAGCTCAGCTGGGTGGTTCTTCTAGTCTGAACTTGGCTTGGCTGATCTCAGCTGGGCTGTCTCATGCATCTTTGGTCATGTGGGAGGTCTGCTGGGCTGGCTTGTTGATGACAGCCTTGTCTGGGGCGGCCAGGTAACTGGGGCCTCTTGGTATGTGGTCTTGAATCCTCCAGTAGGTTAGCTTTAGCTTTTGACAAGATGGTTACAGAGTTCCCAGGGAAGCAACAAAACAAGCCCCACACAAACCTCAAGTCTCTGCTTGTATCATGTTTATCACTATTGGCCAAAGCAAAACACAAGAGTCAGTGTGGGAGGGGACTACCCTAAGTTGGTTACAGGGAAGTGTGAACAAATTGGGACCTTAAATGCTATGGTCCACCTCAGCCTGGAGTTGAAACATACAGAGAAGCAATGGATGATGTATTGGAGTTGGCTGGCCAGTAGTGTTATCTATAGTAATTATTCTCATTATGATCTTTGCCAAGTACAATAAAGGCATATTAATAATTTTTTTATCACCTATTAGGATGACACTGAAAAGAAATAAATAGAATTACTAAAATTAGGATATTAACATAGCACTACATTGCCAGGAAGAATAGAAACTTTTGCACACATTTTAGTTGAGTGGTTTAAATTGTGCAAAGCTTTCTTTTTAAACAATGGTTTTAGAACAAGCTCTTTTTTTCATCAATTTGCAAGGAGTCTTCTCTTGCTAATCAGATTCCAATTCTTTAACCTCATATTTTTATTAAGAAATACTAGCTTATGAAACAAATACAAATAAAGAAAACAATGACCCTGTTAAATGATATTTCCATTTGCTTCATAATTTTGTCTACAAATATAACTTTACTAAGGGCTGGCTATATCTTTGACAAAACTGTGGGAGAAACCTCATCTCTGTTCAAGTTCAATTGATCACAGGAGTCTCTGATCATTTAGGAAGATTTTAAGATGCTAAATCCAAGAACAAGCCTATCATACATCTATGTTTCTGTCTTCCCCAACTTGCCACATCAGTCTCCTCATTCTTGCCGGACCAGGACTGTGTGACCTTTCAAAACGGGGCTGTTAGATGGTCCAAAAAGTTTTGCAAGTAAAGAATAAGGGAGTGACTTCTCTGGTGGTCCAGTGGTTAACAGACTATGCCTTCCAGTGCAAGGGATGCAGGTTCGACCCCTAGTTTGGGAGCTAAGATCCCACGTGCCTCATAGCCCCCCAAAAGCCAAAACATAGAAAATGGAAACAGTGTTGTACAACTTCAATAGAAGACTTAAAAATGATCCACACACACAAAAATCTTTAAAAAAAAAAATAGGGGAAACCAATGATTTGGTGATCATTAAGATATCTCCATTCTTCAAAATTGTTTTAAAACTGAAGGAAAATGGAAGATTTAGCTGTGTGCAGACAACCAGATGATGTTTCAGGTTCTTTTTCTTATGTAGGCTTTTGCCAATGCTATTTTGTTGGTCCATGACTGAGATTATGAGCAAGGATGGAGAATCGACCTCATAGAGACAGCCATTTGCAGTGGGCACTTCAGTGCATGGACTGGTCCTGATTGTTCAGCAGTTGATTTAACCCCCACCCCCATGACTGTTCTGCAGGATCTGTGTCCACCCAGACTCAGAATGGGGACCATTGAGTTCAGTAGCCTTAGATTGTAGCCTCTCCGGTGACCCATTTAAAGACATTTTTGTCCCTGTCCTATGGACACACGCACACACACCTCTCACCCTCTATTTTGGATCAGAAATTCATGGAATTGACAAACCTGGGTCTCCTGCATTGCAGGTGGACTCTCTACTGTCTAAGCCATGTAGCACTGTGAATGGGGTTGATGGTTTCATGTAAACAGAAGTCTATAAGCCGATGCAAAGAATAAAGCAGAGTTGGGCTCCCCTCCTACCCCACCCGGGAATGTGCTCATTCATAGCTTTCCTTGGAGGGAGAGGAATAGCCAGAAAATTGTTTCAAGATCAAATGAGGGAAGGGACATGCAAATGCCTCAGAAAAACCATTAAATATTTTGTGCACGTAAAACAAGTTGCCAGGAGCTTTTCTTTTGGACCTCAGTGAAAATCCCTTTGTCCCAATAATCCGATGGGAAGAGTTCAGTTCAGTTCAGTCGCTCAGTTGTGTCTGACTCTTTGCGACCCCATGGACTGTAGCACACCAGGTCTCCCTGCCCATCACCAACTCCTGGAGTTTACTCAAACTCATGTCCATTGAGTCAGTGATGCCATCCAACCATCTCATCCTGCTATCCCCTTCTCCTGCAGCCTTCAATCTTGCCCAGCATCAGGGTCTTGGGGAGAGTAGGTGCCATTAACTGTGAGGTTCTGAAAACAATCCTAGAGCGTGTGTGTGTTTGCACACACGGCACTCAGTGATCACATAGTTAGTGCCTCATTCATATTTCCCAAACTACATTTGTTGTATTACTTTTATGGTGAAAGAGGTTGTGGTAAAAAACAAAACAAAACAAAAACAGAGAGGTGCTGAATTAAACAAAACAAGGTGGATCTCTTTCTGACAAGACTGATGGGACCCTTTGAAATGCTGACATGCTGTCGGAATGTCCAGAGAGGAAGTATTGTAAATGGTTCCTCCCAGACTCATGCTTGTCTGCATATCCTTGGCAGAGAGCATCTCCTGTGGCCCTGGGTGTGTTCTGTGCACTCGTGGCAACTCTGCCTCCCCCCATGGTAGTGAAGGGCACTTTCATTGTGCATGGTTTTTAGGGTGCTGAAGTGCATGGAAATGTGCATGACTGAGAATCCCAAATTCTCAGAGGAAAAGAGGGAAATGGAAGGAGGAGGCTTACTTACAGGTCAGGGGCTGCATTTTATTCCAGTCAATTTTCCATTGTAAGGGTCACGCTCCAGTAGGTTCTGAGTTTGTACAATTGACAAGAGAAGAACAAGGGGTTTGGTGAGCCTCTGGATAGCTGCCACCTGATTGTCTCCCTCAGAGGGGAAGGCAGTGGGTCTTTAGCTCATCCCACCACAGGCTGGTGTGATTCTGGGGTGCGTGAGCCTCAGCAGGGGGTCCCAGGAGTCCATTTCCCAATAAGTTCCAGAGGGCCAGAGAATGGCCCCAAGGGAAGGCAGGAAGGCCCTGTGGCTTGCTGTGTGTAAGGCCTGCCTCATCTGGGACACTGTAGAAGACAGAAAGGGAAGGGGCTCTGCCTTCGAGGGCTGACTCACTATTTCCCAACTCTGCCCTGGACAAAACACCTCGCCTCCTGAAATTCACATTCCTCACTTGCTAACAAGACTTGCAGTCACCATGCCAGTTGGTTGTAATAAGGATGCTGTAGCAGTTTGAAGGGCTTCCCTGTGGGCGCTAGTGGTAAAGAACCTGCTTGCCAGTGCAGGAGACGTAAGAGACGGGGGTTTGATCCCCGGGTCGGGAAGATCCCCTGGAGAAAGGAAAGGGCAATGCACTCCAGTATTCTTGTCTGGAGAATCCCATGGACAGAAGAGCCTGGAGGGCTACAGTCCATAGGGTCGCAGAGTCGGACATGACTGAAGTGATCGAACACATAGCACAACAGTTTGAAAGCACGCAGCACAGTCCTTGGCACGTAGTAGGTGCTCATGGTGGGCTTTTGGAGAACATGGGCGGTATCTTCATATCTCTGTATGCCTGTAACCTGGCACAGATCCCAGCACAGAGTAGGGATTTCTGAATGAATGGATAGCTCAAATTGACAGATTCAAATGTAAGTGGTTACCAGTTAGCACAAAGAATGTGTGTGCATCTGTGTGAGAGAGAGAACTCAGTGGTGGAGTGACTTAATCTTTAGGAGTCAAGGTATATTCTGTAAAGAAATCAGCCAAAGAGAACCGTGTTTTATGCATGTCCCTCAAGATGCCATGTGAATCAAACACTCTGCAACACTCTCTAAATTGCCATGTTTTAAAAATTTGGCACAGTGTGCAAACACCATCACTGCCATGTCCGCAGTCACTGGGGGTTAATGAAAAGGAGATGGGAACAGAGGGCTGCAGTGGTTGAACTTTTCTACAGAGCTAAGCGCTGGTAAGCGCACTTTACAACAGCCAGCCGCTTAACCCTATCGTGTTAAGCTATAGTGTTGCAGTGCAAGGTTTGTTTTTTTCCCTTTTCCTGTATTATGTCTTTTTGGTGGATAAAACCGGAAAGAAAGGCTATAGACATAAACTGTGCAAATAAAATAACCTTGAGAGGAGGCTGCTCCAGTTGAAACTTACCGTCTCCCTGTTGCCATGGTTACTTCCAGCAGGTCGCCCAGTGAGAATGGCTCTGTCATCAGCAACGAATCAGGGAAGCCCAGCTCGGGGAGGCGCTCACCCCAGAATGTAATGGCACAGCAGAAAGTGACAAAGGAGGAGACTCGGAAGAGAAATGGTGAGAAGCCTTCCCTGCCGAGCACCACCCCCGAGCCCAGCCCACACACACTCGCGAAAGCGCGTGCTCACACTTGCACACCAGCGTGCTTTAAATCAGCCCCCACTCTCCTTACTGTGTCCTGCAAAGGTCCTACCTACCTTCCTGAGGTATCACACTATACCCTTCCCTGAATTATTCTGTTTCGCTACCTCTGCCCTCTGTTCTTATGGGACTGTGCAGAAAAACCCCATTTACAGATTGAACTGAGGTTTGCTTAGAGATTTTCCTTATTTGGGGGTGAATCGCCTTGATTTCTAGCACCAGGTCCACTAGAAAGGCAGGTTTCCGAACCGATGCTTGTCTTGGAGGTCGCCCTTCATTTTCTTGCCCTGAGTCCCTTGATAAATTTCAGGGGTTCAGTCTGTGCCTGTGAATCCAGATAGTACAAGTCCAGCTCTCCCAGGAAAAACAAGACAGTAATAAATCTGTCATCATAAAAATCAGCCCGTGCTTCTGTCTTTATTCTCCAGGGCAACTTAACCATTTAGTTTCTTTTTCGTGCAGGTCTTTTCCCTCCCTGTAAAGGACTGGTCCTGGGGGTTACTTACAAGTGGTCACAGCTGCCTTGCTGTGCTATTGTACCCTCTATAGATGGCATCTGGCAGGCATCATTGTGCAGCCTGCCTCCCTCCTCCTCATCTTACTTTTGTCCTGAGCCTCGTCTTCCCTCGATCCTTCCGTGTGTGATGTCTCTGCCACTCAGATCAGGGAAAATTCCTTTTGGATCTCCAAGGGTTATAGATGGAGTCCTATAGCAATGCCAGGTGAAAAGGCAAGCAGTCTGGCACTCCGGCTGTACTTCTTTTTAAAAAGGAATTTGATGAAGTGTGGTTCAAGGACTCTGTCTTGAAGAGAGCACCAGAATATTCTTTTGTTTTCAAATATCACTTATTTCTTTTTTTGACCAAAAAAGAGTGACACAATGGATTTGTCTTCTGTAGAGAAAGTGTGGTCCTATTTCTGGCCATTATATAAAGCATTTGTTTAAACTGGCATACCGATTTGATTCTTAAATTTTTTTCTTCTCCTAAGCCCCTCTATGCTCTGTAACATAGAGACCATTTGCTCCATGCCAGAATCAGGGTGTGACGTACGGGGTTTTCCTGGAATAACCACCCCACCTGGGACCATTTGGTGTTCTGCCAAGCCAACACACAGGGGACAGCAGGAACTTCAGCTTGTAAAGGGAGATGTGAACTTCGCAACTTTCTCCTCTTTCCTCCTTAGTGAGATCATCAGAGACGTGGACAAAGGGAGTGAGGCAACCCAGAGACAATGGGCAGTGAAGCCATGGGGCAGGCTGTTTTAACCAAACGTGGTGACCGCCATGACCTCTAATCAAGAGGCCCTCCTGCTCCTCCTCCTCCTGGCACACTCTTCCCCCACCTTCCTTTATATTCTTCCTGGAAATGTATAAAGTCTGGGTAAACTCCGGGAATCGGTGATGGACAGGGGGGCCTGGCATGCTGCGGTCCATGGGGTCGCAGAGTTGGACACAACTGAGCGACTGGACTAAACTGAACTGAACTGAAATCAGAGTCCATCCTCCCCCCAGATGCCCCGTCACCCACCCCAGGCTTCAAAGGGTCTTGAATAACTCAGTTTTTCTATCTCAGACCTATTAACTATGCATATGACAACACACACATATATTTGCTTTTCTGTTGTATTGCTTTATTTTGTACAGTGAGACCAATGTACATACTGCTCTATGCCCTTTTACTTGCTTAAAAATGTGCAAAATACAGACTGTTCTATCAATAAATACTCTCTTACAAGAGGATGCCTTTCCCCCTTCCGTGCATTTAATCTGTACAAGAGGAAGGGGCAGGGCCAGTTTCATACTCCGTGACTGCCCACTAGCCAAGTCAATGGGACACTGAGTTCTCTAAATGTTCCCGCTGACCTTCCTGTTCTCGTTTCCCCCACCCTTCCTGCCTGCTTCCTTATTCTGTTTAGGTCACTTTGATTATTTAAATATCAGATTCAGAAATAGCAACAGCCGGTGCATGAATAAAATGCAATTACCGTACCAGGTTGAGGTTTTAATGTGTTTGTTTTATTAAAAAGCCATCCTTTCTCCAAGTTTACAGTGCTTCGTTACATTTCATTTTTGCCAAAGGTAAAGACAGTGAATTTTCATATTTGGTCACTTCTCTTTGACCACAGGTTCCTGTTCAGTAAGGCTTCACTTTGAAAGTTTCAAATAGAAATGAAAGGACCAACTCGTTTAATGTAAAATTCAACATTAGAATTCTAGGCTGGACCTTCAGTGGAACCTACAAGTGTCCTTTTTTAACACAGGTTCCACTTTATCACAATACAATATTATAGTTCATCAAAAACATCAATAACATATTTTATTGGATTAGAAGATAGATAAACAGAGGGAAGGAAGGGAAAGCAAAAAGTAACATTGAATGGAATTGTGGAAAAGGTACAAGGTGTATTTCCATCACATTGTCAGCTTGCAGAAAGTATTGATTGTGTGAATATAATCTCTGAGAATAGATTATTCTTTTGGTATGGAATAATTAGATGTTGTTTTATGGCTCAGTGTCCATCCTAGAAGTTAGGGTTACCGATTTTAATTAATGAATGTTCATTTAACAGGCTGTCATTCTAAAACTGTTCTTGGTTTTCACCAGGTTTGTTGCCTCAGTAGCTTATAACTCTCTACTTTTTTGTGAAAATCAAAACTTTAAAAGGAAAAGACTGTCTCATGTGCAATGTGACTGAAGGCAGGGGTGAGGTGGGGTTAGGGAAACTTGTAGTTCAGTGACTTCATTAGTTATCATAGCTGTTGTTCTTGTGTTGTTCAGCCACTCATTCATGTCTGACTCTTTGTGACCACATGGACTACAGCATGCCAGCCTTCCCTGCCCTTCACCATTTCCTGAAGCTTGCTCAAACTCACGTCCATTGAGTCAGTGGTGCCATCCAACCATCTTGTCCTCTGCCGTCTCCTCCTCCTGCCTTCAATCTTTCCCAGCATCAGGGTCTTTCCTAATGAGTCAGCTCTTCTCATCAGGTGGCCAATGTATTGGAGCCTCAGCTTCAGCATCAGTCCTAATAAATATTCAGGATTGATTTCCTTTAGGATTGATGGTTTGATCTCCTTACAGCCCAAGGGACTCTCAAGAGCCTTCTCCAACACCACAGCTCAAAAGCATCAATTCTTCAGCATTTAGCCTTCTTTATGGTCCAGCTCTCACATCCATTCATGACTATTGGAAAAATCATAGCTTTGACTTTATAGATCTTTGTTGGCAAAGTAATGTCTCTGCATTTTATTTTACTATCTAGGTTTGTTATAGCTTTTCTTCCAAGGAGCAAGTATCTTAATTTTGTGGCTGCAGTCACCATCTGCAGTGATTTTGGAGCCCAAGAAAATAAAGTCTTTCACTGTTTCCATTGTTTCCCCATCTATTGGCCATGAAGTGGTGGGACTGGATGCCATAATCTTTGTTTTTTGAATATTGAGTTTTAAGCCAGCTTTTCACTCTCCTCTTTCACTGTCATCAAGAGGCTGTTTAGTTCCTCTTTGCTTTCTGCCATAAGGGTGGTGTCAACTGCATTACTGTTGAAGCTTGGCTTGGAGAATTTTGAGCATTACTTTGCTAGCATGTGAGATGAGTGCAATTGTGTGATAGTCTGAACATTCTTTGGCATTGCCCTTCTTTGGGATTGGCATGAAAACTGGCCTTTTCCAGTCCTATGGCCACTGCTGAGTTTTCCAGATTTGCTGGTATATTGAGTGCAGCACTTTCACAGCATCATCTTTTAGGATTTGAAATGGTTCCGCTGAAATTCCCTCACCTCCACTCGCTTTGTTCATAGTGATGCTTCCTAAGGCCCACTTGACTTCTCACTCCAAGTTGTCTGGCTCTAGGTGAGTGGTCACACCATCGTGGTTATCTGAGTCATGAAGATCTTTTTTGTATTCTTGCCACCTCTTCTTAATATCTTCTGCTTCTGTTTGGTCCATACCTATCAAAGCTATAGGCAGTTTTAGAGTCTGTTTCAAGATGATGTTTAAATATAAGTGGGAAAGATAGATGTGAGAACTAGGATTTTGAAAGCAAAACAATTTGGCCTTTTCTCAACTAAATACAGATGCTTAAACTTCCCAGGTGGCTCAGTAGTAAAGAATCTGCCTGCCAATAAAGGAGATGTAAAGACACAGGTTCAATCCCTGGGTCAGGAAGATCCCCTGGAGAAGGAAATGGCAGCCCACTCCAGTATTCTTGCCTGGAAAGTCCCAGAGACAGAGGAGCCTGGCAGACTACAGTCCACGAGGTCACAAAGAGATAGACATGACCGAGAAACTGAGCGCCCATGCATGCAAACTTCTGAAAGAAAATGAATATCACCTTAGGAAGAGTGGTTTCCATGAAAGAGTTAAAAATGAGTTCAAGGTGAGAACATAATATATGTATTTATACCTTCAGTTATTTAGAAGAAAGAACCTCCATAAACCCATAAGGGTGTACCTTCCTTTAAGATACCATGATTTCACAGCCAGGGTTCAGAATTTAATCAGACCTTGCCCCTAGCTATCATGGGACGGGGGAGACAAGAATCAGAGAGCTTGGAGGATGAATCACTACTTTCTTGGCAGGGCCCTTGAGGATTTGTCAGAGAGATTTGCTCAAAAACAGTTTCAGTTTTTATATTCTTTCCCTTCTCAATAAGATGGACACTCACTTATTATTTGATAAGCAACACCAAAGGGCAGTGGTTCTAGTTGTAGATTCTTTGTCTTTGAGCGTTAATAAAGATTCCCCCACAAAAGAACACATTTTGTTTAAGGGCATTTTCTGCCTCTGATGGGAAAGTTCTCCTCCTGACAGTTGAAACAGGAGAAAGTGAGATCTCTTTCCAGCCTTATTTACTGAAGTTCAAACCAGCAATGCAAACAAAACATTTTGGTGCTTGGTGGCAATTACTGATGATTACATGATGATGTTCTAGGACTTTCTCAGCCTCACCATGGCCCTTTTCTAGGCATTGTCCCATCCTTTTTTTCTTTGGGGACAAATTATGCTTTAAATATTCTCATAAACCTGCTGTATTCACATAACACTTTAATGTATTAGCACTTAATGCATAAAGAAACCTAGAGGAATTATTGTGTGAATCTAAATATGACGTTAAGTGATGATGGAAAAGAACTGCAGTTTATAGTTTCCAGGGTATCCTTTTCCTGTCCTATTATAGTTATGCTCGCCCCTTTACCTGACCATGGGGTGGGAAGTAAGAGTATCACAATTTGGAAGCAATAAAAATGCAAAGTACCATCTTTTCAACCTCTGAATAGTTTCATGATAGCAAGACTTTAACTTTTATATGTTTATTGGTTTTGCAGGTACTAAACCATCTCCTTTTCCATGACAGGAAATTTTAGTCCTTTCTTCACTCATTCAGCAAATCCCTATTGAAAGCCAACTGCATGTAAGACATTGTTAAAGGCAAAGGCATCAGACTTTAAAAAGATGGGCACGAATGGAGCTTATGTTATAGTGGCAGGGGATGGGAGCAGATTAAATCAATACAGCAATAGTGATAAAGGCGATGCTGAATAATAGAGGGATGAGGTGAATTATTTTAGATTGGTGGATAAAGAAAGTCTTTTTTAAGCAGCAACTTGAAAAATAAGAAGGAACTAGGCAGGTAAAGTGTCATGGAAAGAGCAGTCTGAGCAGAGGGAATAGTAAATGTAAAATCCTGGAGGTGGGAAGAAGCCTGCTGTGTTCAAAAGGCCATTGTGGCTGGAGCAGACTGGCTCAGGGGAGAGCTGGGAAATGGACTCAGCAAGGTGGCCAGGGCCACATGGTACAGAACTTTGTAGGTCACAGTAAAGACACTCGGTTTTATTCTGAGAGAGATGAAGCCTTCAGAGGGTTCTGATCAAAGGAGTACTGTGATCTGGTTATCTCCTGAAAAGATAATCCATCCTGGCTGCTGGTGGAATGTGTATTTTAGGAGTAGAGGAGCGAGTGGAAGCTCAGAGGAGTTGGTTGGGGTGGGGGTGGGGGGTGTTTAGGAAGTGTATTAGTTACTTACAGCTGTGTAACAAATTACCCCAACACCTAGCCACCAAAAATGACTAGCTAAACTTAGTATCTCACATAATGTCTGTGGGTCAGGAATTCAGGAATGGCTTAATTGGGTGATTCTTGCTCAGAGTGTCTCGAGGTTGCAGTCAAGATGTTGGGCTGAGCTGTAACCATCAAAAGGCCTGACCAAACCCATTTACAAGATGGTTCACTGTTATAGTTGTTGGCAGGAGTCTCAATTTCTTGCCAAATGGACCTCTCCATAGGGCTACTTTAGTGGTCTCATAAACATGGCAGCTGACTTTCCCTAGAGTAAGAAGTAATCCAAGAGAGAGCAAGGTGGAAGCAACAATACTTTTTTAATGACCTAGACTTGGAAGCGATACATTGTCATTTCTGCAATTACCTATTTGTTACACAGGTTAGTCCTATGTGACTATGAGGCAAGAATTACTTGGTGCCATCTTGGAGTGCATCTTGGATACTCCAGCTCATCTTGATGCAATCTTGAACTTCATAGCAGTTGTCTGGGGGGGAGATAATGGTGGGAAAGCAAGAACTGCCTGCCAAAACTACATTCTAAAATGATATATGCATCTGGTAACACATCTGAATAAAGATCTTCCTCTGTCATTGGCTCATTGGTGACCTGCTATTTACAAATAAGTCCACAGAACCCCCAAATATTCCAGCTATAACCCATGGTTAGACTATGAGGAGTTGTAACCACTTTTGTAAAAATAGCAATTTACTTGGCTTAATTTGACAAATCTTCTGTGATTATGATAAGTGACAGAATGACACAAACTATGTGTTTCTTAGTAATTTAAATGACATCACAATCTTGTGAGACAGGAGGAAAGATGAATACACTTCTATTACATTCATATTTTATATAACACCTATTTTGCCCCTAAGTTGCTTACTGGGTTGGTTGTTTGAACAGGCTTCATTTATCTCTTGCCGAGCCGTGCTTAGTAAACTGTCATGCGTATAGTTATTTAATGGGAATGTGCTTTAAGTAAATCAGCAAGGTACCACTGGCCCTGGAACATTCTCCATCAGCCTATCTATGGACACACAAGGCAGATGGCTGTGATTCAGCAATTACAGCAGAACCCTCTGTCGGAGGGGAGCGTCAGTTTAACAGAGTGTAGGTGCAGATCGCTCTAGGTAATTAGGGGAATTGTCCGTAGCTTTAAGGGCTTCCCTGGTGGCTTAGCTGGTAAAGAATCCACCTGCAATGCAGGAGACCTGGGTTCAATTCCTGGGTTGGGAAGATCCCCTGGAGAAGGGAAAGGCTACCCACTTCAGTATTCTGGCCTAGAGAATTCCATGGACTGTATAGTCCATGGGGTTGCAAAGAGTCAGATATGACTGAGTGACTTTCTCTGTAGCTTTAAATTCATTTCTCAGTGGTTGTTTCTTAGCTTTCTTTCATTTTAGACAAATGAGAGAAACCAAAACCTTAGTCACTGAGAAACCATCTTTACGGGGGAAAAAGTTTCAGCAGCAATTACTGTGGCTGGTTGACCAAGGAAGACTCATGACCTTTATACAATGCCAGAATGGGTGGCTTTGGTGGCAGAGACTAAACTGAATGCTGTTATTGTCTTGATTATCACATTTTAAGAATAGCTACCAAGTTTGGCCAAATGGCACTTTCCCCATCTCCGACTCAAATATAGAGAACAAATTAACATTTTTTCCCCCCAAATGTGTTCTGTCACAGTTTTGAAGGAATGGTTTTGCCATTTAAATTCAAACCAGTGTGGGGTGAAGAGTATAGATAGTAAATTTTAAGAGAAAGTCACCAGCAGCAGTGAGCCGTTGGCACCGAACCAGACGCTGTTGTTCCTGAGATCATTTTGAGTAAAATGATGTCCTTAGGCTGTGAGCCTGACATACATTCCCCCACGATGGCGCAGCTCCCCTACAACAGAAAATCAATGTGTTTATGTTTTGCTTTAGTGCCGGCGAGTGATGAAGAGGAAGGAGTGGTCCTTTTTGACAACTCTGGCAAGGCGGCTGTGGATCCCTTTGACACGTCTTCTGGGTCTGTGCAACTCATCGGAATAAAACCCACAGCCCTCCCTGTGGCGCACCCCACCTCGGACAGGAGCCAGGAGCCGGCCGTCCTCAACGGCGAGGTGAGCACCCCAGGACAGAGCGGGAGAGAGCGGGTGCAGCCAGGCCTCTGTGAATGTGGACCAAGGAGGGGCCCCTGGGGGCCCCGGGTGCAGGTGTATGGGGCTCTGTGGGTCATTTTTACCCCTGCACACGCAGGCCTCAGTGGAACGAATCAAGACACTGGTCACCCCAAACCAGTTCTTTGAGTGCTGTTTTTGGAGCATTTTCCACCTTCATCAGAAAGTCCATGAAATGAAGTGAAGTGAAAGTTGCTCAGTCGTGTCCAACTCTTTGCGACCCCATGGACTATACAGTCCATGGAATTCTCCAGGCCAGAAAGCCCATAGGGAACTTTTTAAAAAACTGTCATTATGAAGAGAAACATCTAAAATTCTGCTTCCCTAACCCCTCACTCACAGAGCCTGCTTCCTTTCTTGATAACACCACTAAAGTGGTCATGATGGGGTATCTGTGGCAGTGGGGATGGAGAGAGCTGGGATTGATCGGGCACCAGAGGAGATATGGACAGGGAATGTGGCCCACTACATAGACTTTGAAATGACTTATTCCTTCGAGCAAGCTTTGCGCACTTCCAGGAGGAGTATCAATAAATAGCATGGTGTTAGTCAATTTTCCTGTCTTAAAAAGATTAGTACTATACATCAGAGAATAAAGATTTCACCAAAGAAAAACATATGGATGGATGGGTAGATGGAGATAGATAGATGATAGATAGAGGCAGTTTAGGGGAGAACAAGAGTAAATTGGGTAAAAATTAGCTGCCATTTCTCCATCTTCTGCAGCAGAATGGTCAGGGGGCTGAAGGTGTTTATGATCCCTGAAGGCCATGCTCATGGAATGTCCTTGTGAATACCTCACACATGCGTGCACACACACGTAATTTCATTGTTATTCTCTGTTATCATTCACCAGGTTGGTTGTTCACTTCGTTGGTTTATAGCTGGCTGGCTATGGTTAACCTTCACTGGGTGGGAGATTTCCTAAGCTTCAAAGGCTGTTTCCCACCACACCTTGAGGAACATACCGCGACCCCATACAGCTGGGTCCTGTAAACGCACTTCAGGGCTTGTCCACATCCCCCATCCAGGTCACGTGAGAAATCCTGTTACAGACCTGATCCAGGAAGCTCCTTCTGTTTTCTGGGCAGAGAGACTGAACTGCCTAGAGGGATGATGAGTTGATGTTCATCAGTTTTAAAAAGAAACTTAACTGGGAATTTCCTGGAGGTCCAGTGGTTAAGACTTGACATTTTCACTTATGTGGGCCCGGGTTTGATCCCTAGTTGGCGAACTAAGCTCCCACAAGCAGCACAGGGCAGCCAAAAATAAAAATAAATACATAAATAATTAAAAATAGAAAGAGCTTAACTGGCTGTGGACTCATAGAGCACTTGTATGCCAACCTCCTCATTTTTTTCAGACAAAGAAACGGAAGTCAGAGGGCTCAGGTGGTTTACTCAGAGTCACACTGCGGGTTATTGTGACAGCATGATCAGGTCCCCTGGCTCCCTATCTAGCACTCCTTCCCTCTCTTTGACTTACTGTGGCCCATCAGTAAAGAAGAGTGCTTTGCTTGAAAGTATGGACTCTCCAGCCACACTGCAAGAATGTGAGTCCTGGCTCCTCTACTTAATATCTGCGTGACCTTCAGTTCAGTTCAGTTCAGTTCAGTCGGTCAGTCGTGTCCAACTCTTTGTGACCCCATGAACCGCAGCATGCCAGGCCTCCCTGTCCATTACCAACAGCTTAAATTCTCTGTGCCTCAGTATCTCTATCTGTACAATGGGACTGTTGTGAGGATCAAATGAGTTAATATGCAGAAAGCACATAGAATATTGTCTAGCAATACAACAAATATGTTATTATGGTATCATCATCGTTAACTTTCAGGTGGTGCTAGTGGTAAAAAACCCACCTGCCAATGCAGAAGATGTAGCAGATGCAGGTTTGACCCCTGGGTCAGGAAGATCCCCTGGAGTAGGCAATAGCAGCCCGCTCCAGTATTCTTACCTGGAGAAGCCTGTGGACGGAGGAGCCTAGAGGGCTACAGTCCATAGGGTCACAGAATCGTGCACAACTGAGTGACTGAGCATGCTTCATCATTAGTCAGCTAACCATCCAGGATTCATTGATCTAGTACTTAATGCCCTTAGGCCCTACAATTTGGGAACCTATATACCTTCTCAAAGTCAATCACAGCCACTGAATCTTTCCCTGGGCCCAGTTCTGCCACTGGACACTCAAGCCCCAGATCGGAGGCCTCTGAGGTTATCACTGATGCACTGGTAACTATTCCTCATTAAGACCCTCTACCCAGTATGGACTCAGGAGACGGCCGCCATGCCTGGATCTTTTCATCCCAGCTTAGCAATGTGAATGGCATGGGGACAGATTCCATGTCGGCTAAATCTAACTTACCACTTTTTCAGCCAGACCCATCACACTGTCACAGGAGAACAGAGTAGCATTCTCCCATTCCAGAAATGTATACGTGTCACATTTTGGTAGTTGAAGGAATAGACCTTGCTGGCATCTGGATTGAAAAAGAGCCCTGAACTGTTCTCTGTAATTTGCTGCCTTGTGACATTTTAGACAGATTATTTTATCATCTTCCTCCTTCTCTTACAGGCAGCTTGTTTAAGTGAAGAAAACACAGCCTCAAAGCCATAAATTTTCTTTTTATGAATTGTAGGTAATTCTTTTAAAGATTATTTTAAAGCAAACAAAATAACAGCATACAAAATTCAGAAAATAAGAAAGACCACTGTAATTTCACTACCCTAACATATCTTCTGTTTTCATGTTTTCCACTTTCTCTTCAAGCTTTTGCTCAAACTCATGTGTAGTTTAGAATCTTATCATATTCAGACCACCTTATATCTTGTATCTTGAGCATTGGCTGTGTTGCTATTGTCTTTCTGACAATCGCTGTGAATGTCTTGATTGAGTAAGTGCACCGTTGATTGGGAAACTACTCTCCCATTGTCCAAACCAGGTGTATTTTGGTTTTAGTTTTCATGCATGACTTAACAGAAACTTTTTATGTTGAGAATAATTTTAGATTTACAAAACAGTTGCCATAATAGTACAGAGAATTCCTTTATCCAGCTAGTTGTTTACCTGCTACCCCTAATATGAACACCTTGTGTAACTATAAAAAAAAGATCCAGCCCAGGAACATAATAGTGGTGCAATACTGTTGAATAATGTGCAAACCTCATTTGAAATGCACCAGTTTTCCTCTCATGTCCTTTCTCTGTTCTATAATCCAATCCAGGATTAATATATAATATTAATATTATATATTATATACATAATTATATAAATATTATTTATATTTATACTATATGTATATAACAATTTTAATAAAAATTAAATAAATATATATTATAATATATAATCCAATCTCATGTGGCATTTAATTGTCTCTTGAGTCTCCTCCCAAACAAGTTTGGGGTAGTTCAAGTTTGGGAGAGTTCTTCCATCCTTTGTGACCATTTTGTTCTTCATGACTATTATTCTTTTGAAGCGTACTGGCCAGTTACTGTGTAGACTGTCCCTCAGTTTGGATTTGTCTGGCGTTTCCTTATGATTGGATTGAGGTTATGAATTTTTCACATATCCATGGGAATGATGTGCCCCTTCCTGGGCATGGAATCAAGAAGTACCTGATACTGATATGTCTGATTACTGACAGTGTTAACTTTCATCTCTGACTTTGAAATTCTCTTGGAGTGTCATCTTAGGAAGGGATTCCAGAAATGGATTCCTGGCTCAGAGGATGTCATGCTAGCTTCTTTGCTGGTTTTCTCAGTGGCAAGTGGAATGAGGGAACAATTAAAGACTTGTGAGATGCTGCCAGCCTAAAGATACCATCAGGACCCAGGTTGGGGAGATCTTTGCAAGAGTTAGAAAAAATATATTCCTCAGTTTGTTTCTTTAAACCTTGTAAAAGTAAAGCAGCTACATAACATGTAGCCTCATGGTGGTGAACCCCTGGCTTTGTACATCTGTTGACATGTATCTTACCCCTGGATGAGAACATTGCTTGAATCACCTAGCAGTGGAAAGTGTCAGGACTGGAATCTCTGCTTGCATACTGAACCATGTCCTGGGCATTTGGGAGTTTATCCTAGAGGATGGGATATATTTAGGTGCTCAGGCTCCTGGCTTCTGAGCTAGCTGCGTGGATGGGTTTTCCTAAAGCACCACACTCTCACCACTATTTGTTGACCAGACCCAACTAGTGCTGTGTCTAATCCTCAAAGTCCCTGGCTGTTGGTTTATATTGTCACAGCTGCTTCTTGCAGCTGGATTGCCCCTTCCTCTTTCCTTCTTGAAACTAGAGCCAGAAAAAAGAACCAGAGTAACTCCGATGGGCAAGAAGGAACAGGGACATTCTAAGAGAGCAGGGTAGACGTGGCCTGTCTGCCTTCCTTTTTTCGTCCTGCCCCTCCCCTGAATCCCCGGCCCCCAAAGTGCTGCACCCATGCTGTTCAGTCCAAAGCCCCCACCACTGCCCCATTCCACCCAAGCCTACCCACCTTAGTGCTCTATGCTCCGAAAGCTACTCATTTCCCTTCCCCTTGTCTCTGTCAGACTCCCTTTCCCTTAGTCTTTGATGAAAATGAACCCTGCACAACCCACATTAATGGTAATAATGTTTATTTTTTTCAATATACAAAAGACATAATGAAATTATTTTTACATTCTGTTCTTCATACAAAAATCTTCAAAATAAGTGGAGAGAGTAGTGTAGAAACATATTCATTCCCATATGTAAAATAGATAGCCTGTTTTAGAGTTGGTCCCAGTGCCTGGCCATATTGCAAGCATGCCATGCATGTGAACTCCTGCAATCCTCACAACAGCTCCGTGAGGGCGGTAGTATTATCTGTCTCTTACATCGAAAGAATCTGAGGCACAGAGAAGTTAAGTAATGTGCCCAGGGTCACACAGCTAGGGAAAGACAGAGCTGGGATTTAAACCCAGGCAGTGGTCTGGTTCCAGAACCTATACCCTTAGCCCCAGCTTTACGCCACACCATCATTAAAATGTAAATGACTGAAAGCAACAGAATTATCCTCCCAAGGGTGTTTGCATATAAACCCAGTGAACTCTGGTAAATGTTTCGTGAATAGTTGGGAACGAGTGAGAGAGAGAGGTTGACTTTAAAAGGAGATTCTTCCCCTGTTTTGCTGGCAAACTTACTTAAGTTTGGCTCAAGAGGGGACCCTGCTCTCGTGCCCCCCTATGGCAGCGGGGGGACCCGGAGGACAGAGCGGAGCAAGCAGTTCCCTCTGCAGAAGGTAGTCCTACCAGCCTTAGTTTTTGGAGTCCTGATGTCCTAGCAGATTTAAGTTCATTATCCAAATAGAAGAGACTTAAGAAGAAAAAGAGCTTAATCTAAAGTATCATCAGCAGCGTGGACGGTGAGTCAGGGACTCATGGGTCCGATGGCTAGAAGCGCAGAATTCCAGGCTTTGGACCCTGCTACCTGGGGGACTTTCAGGTGCAGGAGGGACACAAAGGGGGTGGACAGCTGTACCCCTGGCCCCTCTTCCTCCCTTGGCATTGGCTGCAGCAGTAAGGAATCTCCTCTGCCGTGTCCCCGGGGCCTCCAGGCAGTTCCTCCTGGCCTCCCTGGCCTCGCCACCTCTGTACTTCTCACGAGTCTTCAGAAGCTCAGCGGAGCCTGGCTTGGGGATCCGACCTCAAGTTTCTGAGGCCGCTGGACCTTACGCCTTCTCCCACCCTCTAATCCTTTCTTCAACCGCACTGTCTTGTAGGAGTCCAGCACAGACAGCGGACAGGACGGTGGGCGGCTGCTCTGTTGACTGGGAACGAGGACCAGCAGCTCAGCCTGGTCTTCTGGCTGCCCCTCTGCTTCCCTGTCTCCTGAGGACCCTCCTGGAGCCCTCGGGCAGCAGTTCTTAGCCCAGGTCCCTAGGCTTGCTAAAGCAATATGAAAATAGCTGTGTATTGGCTTTTGGAGGGCAAGACTCCTAACTCTCAGATTTTCTACTGATCTTCCACAAATCCACAGAATATAATTTGAAAGCCACTGATCAGTGCCAGAGGTTTCTCACTCAGGTACGGGACCAGAGTCAGCTCTGGGACTTTTGCAAACTACAGATGCCCAAGCCCCACTCTTGAAGATTCTGATTCAGCAGGTCTGGGCCTCTGGATTTTTGCCAGCTCTGCATGCAGCCCCAATGCTCTGCTGACTGACCATTGCCTTGGGCATCTTCCAAATGGAAAGCCCCAATTCTGGCAAGCCCACACCAACCCCAGCTCCCAGCCACTCCCTGGGCAGAATCTACAATCCAGGGGCTTAGACCTTGGACCCTCTGTACTTTGTCTTCTCATCCTGAGGGGCAGGGTATTTAGCAGCTAAATGTGCAGACTCTGAACCCTGACCCCACCTCTGATTATGGGTTGTCATGAAGGTTAAGAAGACATCACGCACGTAAGTCACCACAGTGATGGCACAGCGCAGAATCTGTAAGGGGAGCTCTTAGTTCACTAGGGGTCCCAACTCTTCGCTTTACTAACTTAGTTTTTTTGACTCTTAGTTTCCTCATCTGCCAGGTGGAAGTCATCCCCACACTTACCAGCCTTTCCATGATTGTTCCTTGAAATCTTAGCTATGAAAATGCTCTCTACTTTATACATGATTATACAAATGTAGTCAAGCCTGACTGCACACAGCTCCAATGGTTCTCCATATTGTTCAGTAAGTATCAGGCAGGTTTCACCATTCAGCTCTGTTTGTGGGCATAACATCTTCCTTCATATCATTTGTTAATTTATTTAGTGCAGTCATCTGTTTGTATCTTTGACAGGTGAGCAGGAACTGGTTGGCAATAATGGCCATGCAAGCCTTCAAAATTACCTAGCAGTAAAGAATGTGCCTGCAGTGCAGGAGACAGGGAGACATGGGTTCGATTCCTGGGTTGGAAGATCCCCTGGAGGAGGAAATGGTAACCCACTCCAGTAATCTTTCCCAGAAAATCCCATGGACAGAGGAGCCTGGTGGGCTACAGTCTATGGGGTTGCAAAAGAGCAGAAATGATTGAACAAATAAACAACAACAACAAAGCTATAGGCTGACAAAAATAAGCTTTCGAGTGCAGGTTGATAGAGTGAGGAGAACTTGCGAGCAGGATGTCTACTCCTCTTTCCCACCCCATTCATCCCAACTCTAGCCTTTCAAGAACTGGTGGTCTTATCCAGATGGACATCAGCTAAATGGCCATAGGCTTGTTTATTCACTTGACAGTCATTGTCCCCTGCTGTGTATTGGGTACCATGCATGATGAGACTGTTTCTCTCCCCAGGTGAACAAAGCCCTGAAGCAGAAGTCAGACATTGAACACTATCGGAACAAGCTGCGCCTCAAAGCCAAGAGGAAGGGTTACTACGACTTCCCCCCAGTGGAGGCTAGCAAGGCTCAGACGGAAAGGAAAAAGATGTATGAAAAAGCACCAAAGGAAATTGAGCACGTCTTGGATCCAGACCCAGAACTGTGTGCCCCGTTCACCGAGGCTAAAAACAGGTGCAGTTCCTAAGGGATTCTCCGGGGGTCGCTGTACCATTGGTGGGATGACGGCGGGGGGTGCCTCCGGCAGTACCGTCCAGGCCTCTGGTTCTATTTGTCGCCTGAGGACTGTCATCTTTGCAGGCTGCTGGTCTGGGCCACACTGGTCTGTACAAGCAGGAGTTCCACAGTGAGTCTGGAAGAGAATAAAATTAAAGCCACTGAAAAACAACACTTACGCAAACAACCGTAATTGTCCCTTAGCTTTTAATGATGTTTTCAAACCTGTAGCTGTTTCAGAGCTGGGTTCACATATAATTATCACCCACCTGGTTATTCAGCTTCCAGATCAAGGGACAGTGTATTCATCAATAATTTTAGTGTCTCTTGCATAAGAAAAACAGACTCCATGCCTCACCTTTTGATTCAGCTTCAATCAATATTTACTGCACAGCTACTCCAATCTCCCTGCTGGGTTCCTGTCTTTAATTCATAGACTTGTCCATTTGACATTTATTGTCTCCTGCTATGTATTGGGCACCAGGCATGATGCTGAATACTATCATGGTCATGTGTTCATTCATTCAATATTTTATGGTGGACTGAACAGCCCAGTCTCTGCTTTTATGGAACTTAAGCCCTAATGGGAGAGAAGACGAACCCAAGAGTTTCTTACTCACAAGTGTGATGGGTGTTTGAAATGTGAGATACTCAGCCTAAAAGGCAGGCCTGCCCTGGCAAGGAGGTGTAGGCCTGGTGGTTGAAATTGGCAACCCTCTAAGCTTTGCTGCTAACTCAGCAGGGAGTGGCTTCACCTACTAGGAAAAGGGGTGTGTGTGTGTTAGTCACTCATTCAGGTGTGATTCTGTGGACTGTAGCCCACCACGCTCCTCTGTCCATGGAATTCTCGAGGTGAGAACACTGGAGTGGGTTGCCATTCCCTTTTCCAGGGGTATCTTCCTGACCCAAGGATTCAACCCTGATCTCCTACATTGCAGGCAGTTTCTTCACCATCTGAGGGAAAAGGGGTAAATGTCAGCAAAGCTCGATAGGCCCACTTCTCTTCTTTGCCTTCCCCTCTGTAGAAGCATTTTCATGACTTGAGACCAGCTCTTCCAAACACACGTTCTCCGTGGCAGCTGTGATTCTGAGCTGCCAGTGCTCCAGCCCAAGCCATAGCCTTCACGGACACAGCCTCTAGACAGTCCTTGGGAGGACAGGATGATTCCTGGACTGAGTGGGTATTTATTAAAAGCCACGATGACCATGTGATGGGCCCAGATGGAAGCCACATAGTCAAGCTGGGAGTGGGAACTAAATTTTATGAATGGAATCTTCATGATTTATTTTTAATAATGAAAAGAGGGAATTCTAAGCCAGTGCCTCATTTTCCAGGCTTCTTATTGGGCTTGGTGGGGACAACAAGCCGTTGGTGTAAAATCACACTGTGAAGGGATCCCAGCGCACGTACCCCCATGTTGATAACCGTAGAAGGAAGGGAAGGACATCTGTGGATTTTATTGGGAGGCTGGGGGCGTCTTTGGCTTTTACTTCACACTTTGGGACTTTTTACTTCAGGGGTCTTTTATAGACTTCAGTGGTGATTTATTTTTTCCTGGGTTTCCTGCTGACATTTGGAAAATGAATCAAAAATCATCTACAAGTGTGCGAAACTTAGTTTAGAAATTATTTGAGAGTTAAATACAGTTTTCAGTGAAGACATTTTATAAGGAGAATGAACAAAACATTTTTCTGAAGAGGTGCATCTCCACTTCCTAACAAAAGGTCAGGCCAGTTTTCTAAGGCCTTTTGCTGGCCTGCTGATGCTGGGAGTATATAGGCAATTCTTAGTAAATGTTGAAAAAAGGATTTAATTTTAAAAATATGATCAGTTAAGGGAAAATTAGAGATAACCACAAATCAGGTGGGGTGGGGGTAGAAAGGGAGATGAGATCAGCAAGAGATGACGAGAAGAGAAAGATTAATGTCAAGAAAGACACTTAGTAAGCTCTTGGACACTATTCTTCTTTTTAAAAGATATTTATTTGGTTACACTGGGTCTTAGTTGCCGCATGAGGGATTTTTAGTTGCCACATGCAAACGCTTAGTTGCACATGTGGGTTCTAGTTCCCACACCAGGAATAGAACCCAGGCCCCCTGCATTGGGAGCACGGACTCATAGCCACTGGACCACCAGGGAAGTCCCTCGGGCACTATTCTTGTCACACTCTGCTGTTGACTCCAGGCACTGTCCACTGCTGCCCGTTGTATGTTACCTGTTATCACAGGTGAGACATACCTGTTAGTTACCATTCACAGTTCCGCTCTCTAGAGGTTCTGCTCTCAGTGGCCAGCCCCGGCAAGGCACGAGTAAGGAACCCATTTTCTAGGCCAGAGATAGCGTCAATAACCAGAAGCTTACCGTGAGAGCTAAATAAATCAAATGAAAATTTAGATTCCAAATGTTGACTCATCCTGATATCCTTTCAAAGAGTTTTCACAGCTTTTTTTAAGTCAGAGCACACCCCCATCTTTATGTTATAAACTCTTCATGTCTTCAGAGATGCAAGGTACATAATATAACTGAGGCAGGTGCTATCAGAGGCCCACTCCATGTCTCCTCAGCCCTCCTGTAAGCCAGCAGCGTCCTTCTTGCTGCGAACATCTGTGACTCTGATACGAGGTCCCCAAGCAGAAGTGTCAGGTAGTTAATATGCTCTGGAGCAGCTGCAGTCCGTGACAGATGGGAACTGATGGATAAATACCCCTGGCAAGAGAACTCTACACTGTTCTCATAACCACATTTTCTGGTTTCTGTATTTGATGATTTGACATCTGAGGTCTGGCCCCTGGAGAAACTGCCCCTCCCGGGGCTGGGTTGCCAGTTCCTAGGGACAGTAATTTTCCTCTCAAGTGCACCCATCACGCACAAACCGAGCAAGCTAGAACTCAGACCCCAGCTGCCTCCTGCACACAGGGGCTCTGGCAGTCTGGGCCCCTGATCTCCCTGCCCACATCACCCCTTTCCAGTTGCTTCCCATGAAAACCACAATAAAGGCTCTTGCCCGCATTCTCCCTGCACTCCCCCTGCCTTGTGACTGACCCTGGTGCTGCCCGCGTGGCCCTCCTTAGTGTGACTTGCCCCTTTCTCTTGGCATCAGTGAGTGTACAAGCCGTCTCTTCGATGGCAGTCATCCCCCAATCTGCTGGGTTTACCATACCTGAATAACAATGAAACCTACATTTTAAAATAATGATCTCCCACACTTCTCCAGTAAGTTTGAGCCCCAGATGCCCAAGACACTGATCTGCTCTAGACCATATTCTTTTTTGGCTTACTTCCCTTCCCTCTCTCATTTTCCCACTTCTCAACTTGTGCTTCCTGGAACCCTCTCCCAAATAAACCACTTCTACTTAGATCATCACAGAGCTTACTTCTGGGGGAACCCAACCTAAGGCGATAACCTGTAAAAACAGAGTTACTCTGGTAGAAGCAGGACCGCCTCTCCCTCCTCTTCCCCTTCCCCTCCTCTTCCTCCTCCTCCTTCTAGTCCATCTTTGTGGAACCCTAGGGCTCCACAGAGCACAGTGCTCAGGAACTACTTTCTTTAACTATAGTGGTTGATCCAAACCTCCTAAAAAATCCAAATGAAATCCATCCTCCTCCTCCCAGCAATATTTTCAGAGGTTAAAAAACTTACACCTCAATTTTGCAAGTTTCAGAGTAGTTGTAGGCACACATTGGTAGCATGATTAATTGAGATTCATGTTAAACAGCAGCCTTTAAGCTGTATATAATAGAACATTGTCTGAAGGAAAAGGAGACTGGAGGATATGCCAGTGTCTAAGGGCGCACCCACATTCAAGGTTCTCGAAAGGGCTTATACAGTCTCACTATTGTATTTCTAATACTTCCAAAATAACCTACTTAAATGTCAATTGCTAATCCTAGTATTTACTCCTCCACCACCATTATTAGTAAACCTTTTCTAAATGGGTTAGTTGGCAATCTCAGGACAGTTATGGAGTCGGCTTTTTCAAAGAATGATTTGTAATTGGGTCAAGGGAAAGAATTCTTTGGGGTCTTCCTTAAAATATGAGTCACTCAGAACAGATTCTGTTTCACAAGATTGTGCTCCTTTCCTAGAGGACGCCTCTATTTGCATATAGCTATAGGGCACAGTTTATGACGTTAGGTGGTAAGCTCCTATATTAGTCAGGATTCTTTTGGTTGCAGATAATGGAAAACCAACACAAATTGGCTCAATAAAGGGGAAATTTTACCACTGAACAGGCCAAGGCTTCAAGCATGGCTAGATCCAAGAGGTCATACAATGATTTCCACATTTATCTTGTTTCTTCACTTTTACTGGCTCCTTTTCAGGCAGGTTCTTACCTCATAGTGGCAAACTGGCTGCCAGCAACTCTAGGCTTATATCCTACCTTCTTAGAAACCTCAATGCCAAGAGAATGCCTCTTTCCTGGTTGCTGTAGCAAAAGCCTTGAAACTTAGTCGCACTTGATCAACTCATGTGCCCACTCTCTGACTAGTTCTTATGGCCATGGGGTTGTGATGCTGTGATTATCCGGCCTGTGTCACATGCCTATCCCTAGAGAAAAGCTGGCCATCCCAGTGCCCTTACCTAAAGAGGCTTGTCCTGGTGCCAGATGAGCAAAGACCACAGAGGCTCTCTAAACAGGTGTAAGCTCCTCTTGGTGAGGGAGTCAGTCTAATAGTGTATGTTTTATTCCCTAGATTAATTGCAAGGGTGGGGTCTTGCCCTTGGGGTTCTGATGTCTGTTCTAGACTAGCAGTGTGTGAATGTCATGCTCTGACTAAGTGGGTATGGGGTCATGAAAAGGTATCTTTACCTCCCAGGTTTATTCCATAGTCACTGACAATAACACAACCTCTGTTCCTTGAACCCACAAATGGATAGAATCTTAGAACCAAAACACTAAATAGGGGAGTTCTCTGAAGGCAGATGCTCTCAAATGCAAATAATTTACAGAGAAAAACTTACTGTTGGATGAGAGGGAAGTAGCCAGTGATTTTATCCTACTTTTGTGGGATAAACCCTGCAAGATCATATGGGATAAACCCTGCAAATTTTGCAGAATAAAAACCCTGCAAAAAAGTCATCACTCCTGAGTTACCTCCTGTGCAAAAAGAAAAGCACAGCCACAGCCGTCACTGTTACTGGTTCTTTCCCTCCTAACAAAGATTCCTCTAAGGACAAGTAGAAACAAAACAGTGATGACAAAAGTATGCGTTTCCTAGGATGAGCTGGGTGGAGCCTCTGAACATGTGAACCTCAGTCCCTGGTCAGGGCAGTAGAAAATGCCTGCATGTAAAAATAAAGGAATAAATAAACAAGCCAACAAAGACACTCATCATGGGCAAATGATGGCACTGGCAGTGATGGAAGCCTGGATTGTTCCAGAACTTTTCCACTGAGCAGGAGGAGTAAGGGCATGCGAAAGAGATTCTTAAGCTATAAGGGGTTTGGGAATCCCTGTGTGTGTGTGTGTGTGTGTGTGTGTGTGTGTGTGTTTAATTAATTTATTTTTTAATTGAAGGATAATTGCTTTACAGAATTTTGTTGTTTTCTGCCAAATATCAGCATGCATTAGCCATAGGTATACATATGTCCCCTCTCTCTTGAACTTCCCTCCCATCTCCCTCCCGTGTTTTGCAGCCATAATTCTCAACCACTTTGCCGCCCTACCAGCTATAAGGGGCTGCACGCTCCTGGCAGTTCCTGGGGCTCACTTGAGTAGTAATTTTCTAGGAGGAAGCACCCCTTTTGGAAGAAGGCATGATTTTAAAAAGATGTCCAAAACGGATCAGTCCTAACGAGGCTAGACCATAACTGTAAACTAACTTTGAAATTAATTGAAGTGAACTTCCTAGGCCTGAAATGCTCTGTGTCCAGGTTGATATGTGGCTGGCTGTGTTCACGAAATGTCACCTCTCTAGAGAGGCCTTCCCTGACCCTCCTATCTAAAGTCACCCCACATCCTAGTCACTATCTGTCACCCTTATTACTTTGGGAATTACCAGGTGCACTGTCTATCTGCCTCTTTAGAATGTAAGCTCAGCAAAACAGGGCTGTGTCTATCTCATTGTGGATCCTCATCCTCTTCCACCCTACCTGGTACATTTTAGCCACTCAGTAATGGATGGGTGGATGCATGGGCCCCCGATTGCCTTGCGGTTCATGGCTCCTTAGCCCAGAAGGGAATCCACTGTGATGAAGGTAGAAAAGAAAATCTGTCGTCAGCCGTGTTTAAGAAGCTTATTATCCACAGTGTTTGTTGACACATCATGGAATCCTGCATGTGAAATTAGAAAGGTGAAAAGAAGTAGGAGGCTGCTAAGTCAACAAAGCCAACAAAAGCAAGTTTGTTCTTGCAGTGTTCACTGTCCTAGAGGGTCAAGGGAGAGTCCCTGGTCTTGCCGTCAGCAGAATTTTAGATGAGGTTGCAGTGATGCAATTGATTAGAGTTACCCAGTTTCCATACCACAGGGCACTTACAATTCAGTCAAATGGGTACAGCATCTGGTTGGGGGTGGGGGGAGTCTTTATTCCATTCTTTCTACAGTTCCTGATGGCCAGGGAACAAATACCATCAATTCTGAGATTCGCGAGGCAAATCCAAAGCCTTCATTGGTTGCCTGTAGTTTGGATCAGTGGAGAATTCCATCTGTCAGGGTATTTGCTGCATCATAACAGTTGTTGAATTTTCTTCAGGCAACAGATGAAGAACTCTGTCTACCGGAGCCGGCAATCTCTGAACAGCCCGAGTCCAGGGGAAACAGAGATGGACCTTCTGGTAACTCGGGAGCGACCCCGGCGTGGGATCCGGAACAGTGGATACGATGTAAGTATCTGGTGGGCAGAGGTGAATGCAAGCTTTGCTTTTTCCTGAATGCAAAGGGGATAGAGCATTCTGTCATGTTTCAGTTTATTGTGTATCAGTGGAATTTTAAAATACACTGAAATGTTTTCTATTTTATTATTCCTTGTTTCCTCTTTTGCAAAGTAAGACTAACTGGAATGTATCAGAGTAACAAATTATTGCTCAAAGAATCTCAAGGTCTAAATTCAACCATTTTATGAATAGTACTTTATTGACCTTATACTCAACAGCGATGCTAAATGTCCTTAATTTTTTCCCCTTTGTTCTTAGAATCTCAGTAGGAACCATGGCCGTGGGTTAGAATTCATTTGAACATAGGCGTCTTTTAATCCAGAGCACTGTTGAGAAGTTGGATTTGTTCCTGATTTCGTAACTCCTCAATATGCCATGGAAACAATGAGATTTCCCACAGAGAGATTTGGTGATTTCACATGATGAAGCACATGCTTATGTGCAGGGGTGCTCCAGGCTGCAAAAATGTTTCTAATCCCATCAAATTCCCCAGGTGATGACTTAACAGTTTGGTGCCTCCTATCAAACTGCTTACATCCCATCATGTGTAGTTGCTCTCATGAGTTCGCGTGAAAGATGCTGTGCTAAGATGTTCAATAGTGCTTTATTGTGTCCCAAGATTCAAATGGTCTTGAATATGCTCTTAGGTTTTATGAAAATGTTTCTCTCCTTTTCTTCTAAAATGTTTCTCTAATTACAAATACAAAATTTTCTGTAACAAGAGTTATGATTCAAATATATCCAGATAAACTTTTTTGTTTTAATTGTGAGGTTATAATTTGAAAATTACACTTGCTTTCTTAAACATACAGTGCTAATTTGAAGCCAAGAAGGTTTTTTCCCCTCGGAATTGGTCATTCTTTGCCACAAAGCTTAAAGTGGGATTTTTAATGGTCCAGTTAAAACAGAGATGCTATACCTAACTTGAATTTCTAATTACCTTCCTGACATTTAAACTTGATGTCTGTGTTAGTGGTGATACCCTTATCTTTTATTTCTTTTTCATTTTTCATAGCTAAGAGGTGGTTTAATTTTGTAAAATTCCAAATGCTTTGGGCAAATCTTTTTTTTCTCCTTCAGATTAAAGTATTCAATGTTAAATTTTCTCCTCATACAAATATTTCTCATGCCAAGCTTGGTCATCAATTTGATAATCAGCCTGTGGTCAAAAGTAGGGCATTTGAAATTTCCATTTAATCTCTCCCTACCAACAGTGAGTATTCTTCCTGGATGCTTGTAGTTTGGGAAACTTTTTCTTCTGCTCAGGAATATTCTGCTGATATGTGATAGCATTCTTAGTTTTTTTCAAGACTTGAATTAATAGATTTCTTATGAGGTTCTAGACATAGTCGTTTTCACAGTTTGAGGAAATAGGCCAGAACACAGTTAGTTTTGAAAAGAGAACACTGCAGGCGTTTTTCACTAATGTGCCAGGACTTGGAGTATTCACTGGATACTTTCGGAATGTTGCATTAGAACAGTAGGAGAGAGAGGATTTTTTTAAAATGAGGTTGCTTACCTCTCAGTCATGTATAAATATTCCAATTACAGATTCCTTTAAGGGAAGCCCACTTCATTTCAGTAGATTTTTTAAAAATATATGTTTCTTTGAAAAGTGTGTGTGATCACAAAAAACATGCAAATACAAGTTTCCTTAAGAGATGATGATCATCCAGGGAACAATTTGAAGAATTTAGACTGTTGATGCTAAGAATGAAATTGCTTCCTTTATTTCCTCCTGAACCTTTTAATTACATGAGAGATATCTGCTCTCATTTCCTGACTGCCCACACTAGACCAGGCCCTATTCTAGTCTTTTTATATGTATAATATAATTGTATTTGCTATCACCAGACAAGTGGTTATTCTCATTATGCCCATTGTACAGATGGGAAACTGAGGCTCCGGGCAGTTACATTATATGTTTACCCGTCTCCAGATCCTGTCCCCTTAACTACCCCTTAATACAGCTTCCATGCGCCCCCACCATACTATATATCTGTCTTTACATAACATATGCCCTGTATTTCTGATCTCTCTAAGATGGCATGTCTCACAAGAACTCTTGCATGGTGAACTCACACAAGCAAAAGGTGGACCTGCAGATAAAGTAGCAAAAGAAGAGTCATAATTTTAAACAGTGCATGCATTCATTTTCTGAATCTTGATTTTCCAAAAGTGCCAAAGCGCTCCTGGAAAAGAACCCATTAGCTCAGCAGTGAACAGGTCATTCAGTTGGAAGCATGTCCGGTGTCCTACTGGGCCTGGGCATCTCAAAGCCAGGCCAACACTTCCACGTCTTTTCTGCCAGATGAGGGAATGCCAGGACCCACTCCTTAATGTGGTAGAAACAAAAGTGCTGGGAGATTGATTTAAGTGTGAATTTTTCAAAGGTTGCCTGCATTAGAGTCCCAGAGGAAATGCCTGCATGTAAAAATAAAGGAATAAATGAGCAAGCCAACAAACACACTCATCACGGGCAAACCTCAGCCCTGGGACTGATGGCTGCCAGGATTGTTTCAGAACCTTTTCCACTGAGCAGGAGGAGTAAGAGCATGAAGAAGAGACTTAGCTACAAGGGGGCTGGGAACCCCTGTGTTTTACAGCAATGATTCTCAACTGCTTTGCCACCCTAACGGCTAAGACGTGCTATACACTCCTGGCAGTTACTGGGACTCACTTGAGTAGTAATTTTCTAGGAAGAGGCATCCCTTTTAGAAGAAGGCGGGATTTTAAAAAGATGTCCAAAACTGATCAGTCCTAATGAGGCCAGACCATATCTTTAGACTAACTTGGACATGAATTGAAATGAATTCCTCCCAGTGCATAAGTGGGTAGAAAAGATAACTTCAGCCTAATATTTCAAAACAAAAGTAACTGTTTCAGGGATTTCCCTTGTGGTTCAGTGGTTAAGAATCCGCCTTGCAATGCAGGGGACATGGGTTCAATCCCTGATTAGGGAACTAAGATCCCATATTTTGCAGAACAACTAAGCCGCTGCCACAGCTAGAGAATCCATGCCCTGCAATGAAAAGATCCTGCATGCTGCAACTGAGGACCTGACACAGTTGTTTTGATGGCTTCCATTTGCAAGGGATGAAATGTGATCTAGAAGGCCCCTGATTGCCTGAGATAGCTTACAGGGAGTCTGGAGCCTTCTCAGTAAACTTGTAAATCCTGTTGTTAATGGGAGGCTCTCCTGCTCTTACAACTGGGGCATGAGAGTCAGAGACCAAGGCAAAGCACAAGGATGCCCTGGTACCACACCATGTGCCTGGTGAAGGGTACAACCAACTTCTGGTTTCGTTGGGGAGCGAATGGTTGAATTGGGGGATTTTGTCCTTTACCAGAAGCCCCCTGCTGTTGCCCTCTGAACCACGTGCTCCGTGTCGGCCCTGCCCCCACCCCCATCACCTCCTAAGCATCCCACCTAGAACTGGCTTACATAGGTCTCCCATCTCAGCCTTTCATTTCTTTCTCTTGCCTCTGCAGACTAGTTTAAGCTGTTAATAACCCTGGCTTGGTATGTTATCTCATGTTAATGAATAGGACATTGTATTTTAACAGAGCCCTTTAATCCCAGGGAAATATCTGATGATGGGAAATCAGGCTTCCTGGTTGAGGCTGAGGCAGAGGGAGGTTTTTGGTGGTGAAGGGGGAGGTGTTTGGTGGTGAAGGGAGCCTTCCAGTGTCATCTAGCCCTCTCCAGGCTGGTGGCTGCCCACAAAGAGACTTGTTAACCTATGGAGATGGAGGCCTGTTGGCATGTGGGGAACAGGAGGTGGTTTCTTGTTTGCGGGTTTGGGGGTCGGCGGGTCAGGTTTCAGGATGGCCTAGTGACGCTGCTCAGAGCCAGGCCTCCCCTGCTGGACCTCCTTCCCACGCAGGTGGGTTCCCAATGGGCAAGAGGCAGCTTTCCTTGCTTAGTGAGCACTCAGGTGACACCTGCCCGCCGGTTCTTTCTGGTCTCCTGTGCTCTGGATGCTGCCTGCTTCTGCTCTTGGTACCACCTACCCATCCTGCCTCTCCTGGGCTCTGAGACCTCTTAGCCTCTTGACCAGTGTGTGCATGTGTGCCAAGTCACGTCTGACTCTTTGTGACCCTATGGACTGTAGCTTGCGAGGCTTCTCTTTCCATGGGACTCTCTAGGCAAGAATACTGGAGTGGGCTGCCACGTCCTCCTCCAGGGGATCTTCCCAAACCAGAGATTGAACCCGTGTCTCTTATATCTCCTGCATTGGCAGCTGCTTACTGCAGGTCAGTGTGCCCAGTACACTCTTCGTGTGGACACCTTGAGGGAAGGGAAGGAAGCAGGATTGGACAGTTAAAGGTCAGGATGTGGTATAAGAACTACAAGACCTCCCCACAGGGAGTGCTGTAACTCACGCGACCCTAGAGAGTTGTGTCGTTTTCAAGAAGCATCTGGGTTCTTGTCCTCTAGTACTGACCAGTCCTTGTGTGTCCTTGGGTGAGGCATTTCACTTTAGCCAAGGACAGTTCCCAGTGAGAGAGCTGGCACTGCCTGTTCCCTCTAATGCTGGGGGAGAGCAAGGGTAATACCCAGGTGACAGCCAAGGGCTGGAGACCTGCCCATCAGCTCGGGAAGAAACACTCAAGTCTGGAGCATTACAGCACCATCCACCCCATGCTGGTTCCTCTGAACTCTGGTCCTTGGCCCACGGGGAGCCCTCAAATCCCTGTAGGATCCAGAAGCCAGAGGACAAATGAGAACCCCACCTCGGGACTTGCTACCCCTTCATTTCTTCCAGCAAACATTTCTCAAGTGCACTGGATCCATTGCATCATATGTGCGTTTAACATCTGCCAGTTCCACAATATAGTCTCTGAAAGACAAAGGGAAAAAAATATAAATATTGCCCCAAAAAGTTAGCTTTTGCCTATATTCTGCTCATGTTGTGCATTATAGGTGACCTATTTCTTATTTCTAT